GGGCGGCGGGCGCGAGCGCCGGGCGGGCGGAGGGCGGTGCAGTGCGGGCCGTGCGGGCCGCGCCGGCGGGGTGGGGCGGCGCCGTGCGGAGGGCGTAGGGCCGGCGCTTGCCCCCGCCCGGCCCCGGCGACGGGTCCGGAGCCGCTCTCCCGGAGCGCGACCAGGTGTCGCTGGCCGTGCCGCCCCGCGGGGAGGGAGCGGAGTGCCCGTGACCTTCGTGGAATCCGGGCCGCTCGCGCCGCGCGGTGGAGGGGACTTGGGGGACGCCGGGGAGTGGCTTTGTTCCTCACGTGTCGAGGGCGCTAGTGGAGCCCGAGGGCAGTTAGCTAGCCCTGGCCGGCTGCGGGCGACGCCGGCTGGGAAGACAGCGGAGGGTTCAGCTCGGGAACGAGGCGGAGATGGGTTTTGCGAGGTGCCAAGCATTTCCAGGGGTACACGGAAAATCAATTACCACTGGATTGCGTCCAAATAATTACAACTGGGTTGTTAACACAGGAACATTTTTAAGTAGTTTTAGGAATTAAAAAACGAACTTTGGTTCTGGCATTCTCAGAATGACATTCACGTTGCGGGCTCTGAGTGGGAGCCAGCGAACTGCTTGTGAGCCGAGGGTTTAGTTTTAACTCGGCTCTTAATATTCCGAGGTGCGGTGAGTGCACTTAGTTGCAGCAGACTTGTGTTCGTTGGGTGATTTTGCGTAGTTTTATCTGGGGCAGAGATCTGAAAGGTCTTGAGATGACTTTCATTAAAGCAGCCCTTACCTTAAGCATAAAGAATTTAATGTGAACCTCTATGATGTGTTTTTCGAGTGTAGTTTGCTTTTACGTTTTGACAGGCTTCGTTTACAGAGGAACTTTTTCCGACCAGTAGCCATGAATGTGTGGTCATTAGGAATCTCTCAGAAGCCTCTAAATCTAAAGCTAGTTTTAGGCCAGGAAATGCCTACTACAGTTTCAAGGATTCTCTAGCGAAGTTGTAATGTTGTCATAGGGAGTAAGTAGTGCAGAAGCAAGTTTAAAAAGGCACCCAAACCCACCCTGCACGGTAACTTTCAGGGGTGAGGTAAGTTTAAGAAAAAAAACATAAAACATTACATGGTCTTATCCCTATGTGTCATTCTCTTTGGGTATTGAAAAATCATAGCTAGGACTCCAGAAGAGGTTGTTCTGTGTGACCATTCTGAGTTATAAAGAACTCCAAGACTGGTGAGAGGGACAGAAGAGAGACAGATGACAGGCGTTCACAAGCATGTCGGAGGAACCCAGCCCTATTTCCCTGGTTAAGGAGGTCTTCAAGGAAGATTCTTTTCAGCTGCTGGGGAAGGTTGGCAAGGGAGTGGTTGAGTAAGCACTGAAGGGAGAATGCCAAGCCCATCCTTGAAAGTCCAGGAGTCTGTGCTTCTGTTTAAAGGTGGGGGGATGGGGAGGATGGAGGGGGGAAGAAAGAGAAGGGTGAAATAGTTGACATTTGGTGCCAGCTGATTTTTAATGTCACTCTTGTAGTTAAAGGTAAATAGTTGGGATGGAAACCTTTGTTTTTTGAACAGCTCAGCACTAAGTGGGGAGACTTGGAATCTACAGTGTTTGTGCTCAGTTTAATGATGGTGTAATAAAATTATTTAACTGACTTGAGTCAACCTACAACTTTTTAGTTTAAGTGAAGGTCTGTTACAAGATAGTTTTGCAAAATCCAGTGGTCATCTTCTAGTAGGTTTATTTTAATTGTTTTGATTCTACATTTGACTAAGATAATTTCTCCAGGAGTGTCTCATTTAATCATTCTGAAATTGGGTGGTTTTTTTCTTTTATGTGCATTATATGATCATCTTGAGATGAGTTTTCAGCACCTTGTACAATTTTGGAGAAGTTGGTAATAGGAAGTTTTCTGCATACCTCAGTATTTTGAAAAAATTATATTGTTTTTTATGTAATCAGTAATATGCAGAAGTGCTTTAACCATGGCAGTGAATTCTGAAGTAGATCTTTGGCCATGTTAGTAAAAAGACCAAGATATTTATCTGTTTTTCCTTAAATTGTGTGATTAAACCCTGGCAGGAATTTGATTTGGAATTTAGATTTGAAATTTGGTATTTTATGTGGAACTAATTTTTTTGTTTAAATTTTTTACCTCATAATGTTTCTTCCTTTGTGTTAGGCAGCATTTTATTTTTCTGTTAGCAGTTAAGGAGGAAAATTTGAAGAAAGTTTAGAAAATGCTAAAACAAATTCCAGATATGTTCTTCCTCTTAATTATCAGGGAGAGTAGGAAAATAGAACAAAATCATTGTGATGAAATGGCCCATAACAATACAAAGCAAGAATAGAGCTGTCAGAGGGATCAGGGACCTGTACATTTGGAGTAAGAAGTAGCACAGCGAGGAGAAGAATACTTTACTGAACAGTTAGCATACTTTCAGGTGGTTCTAGAAGACCCTTCCATTTCATATTGGCTACACCAAACCTTTGGGGTGACCCCCCCCCACCACTTCCTTAAAACATAAAGTGTCATTATTCCAAGTGTCTCTATTGTCAAGTATCTCTGTTGTCCACAGGATAAAATTTTTCGTATGATTCTTAAGCTGCCACCTCTGGAACACCTGTCCATCTGCAGCTATCCATATTTACATCCACAGTTTCTTGCCCTGATACAGAAACACCTCTCATCTCTAAGATTCTTGGTTCCTTTTTTTTTTTTTTTAAGCTAGTTAAGGTAAAATCCCTTGTGATTCATATTTAGACTGTGTTCCATCAGATATTTTCCCTCATGTTTTCAGCCACTGGCCTCTTCCTTTTAACACATAAGTACACCAAAGTCTTTCATTTTGAGAATAAGCAAATAAAATATTTCCTTGACCTGCAACTCCTAGTCTGTGCCCTTCCTGGTTTTTTGTTTCTTTTGCATTCAGACACATAGTCCACATTCAGTATCTCTCTGGCTCCTCACCTCTCTTCACTCCTCAGTCAACTGTAGTCATGTCTGTCGTGATAATTATTGATTGCCAACTGCATTGATCATTTACAATTTTTTTTTCTCGCTTGACCTTTCTTTGGCAGTTAATATTACCTATGATTTTTTTAAACCCAATTCTTGACTTCTACAACATTGCCTTCTAATTTTCTTCTTTGCTCTTTTTTTAAAAAAAATCTTATTATGTCCTTTTTCTTAAATGCTGTTTTAGACTCTAGCTTGATTTCATCTTTATCTCATTCTGAGTTCTCCTTATTTTGAGGTTTTCTCTTCTGTACATTCTGATATACACCCAAATTTGTATTTTAATTCAGACTTTAGTCAAGAATGCATACTCTTAACAACTTATTGACCATTTGAATTTGAATATTCCTTAGATGCTCATAATCAACATTTAGTACTTTCCCCCACTGCTTAAGCCTACTCTTTTTTGTGTGTATTTATTTTTCCACTACCCCCATATTTGTATATTTTTAATTTTTATTTTTTAGTGACACAATTACTCATACAGGAGACATTTTGACTTTGCACACCTAATAATTAAAATGTTTCTGCCTTGACCCTGTCCCCTTTAATGTATCTCTGCTTCTAAATTGATTTTTAAATTCATTCAATCATGAATCTAATTAATTAGTTAATGTAATTGCATTAAATTTGAGTGCTATATGCCAGATAAGTATTTGAATTATAGTTGTGAGCTAAACACAATCCTTGTTTTCATGGGGTGATTCTAAGGGAGAGATGTATAATAAACCAATATTGAGATGAATGAAATGTAGCTATGAAGATGTGGTGCTTTGAGAATTTAAGACAGGGGACTTGGATCTGGTCTGGGAAAGCTGTCCCAGTTGAACTGAGAGTGCAGGAACAAGCAGAAGTTACTTAGAGGAAGAAGAAAGGAGAATGCATGTGCAAAGACCCTGTGGTGGGAAGGAACCTGGGAGTTTGAAGACTGAAAGAGGTCAGTGTGGTATTCCATTTGTTAATGACCAAAATGAGCTAAATGAGGAGATTCATTTTTATCTCAAGCCACTGATGGATTCTTTTTTTTAAGTTTTAATATTTTTAGTTATAGTGGACACAACACTTTTATTTATTTGTTTTTATGTGGTGCCTCACACGTGCTTTTCAAGTGCTGTACCACTGAGCCCAGCCCATTGATGGATTCGTAAGTGTACCATGTGGTATGGGAGGTGCAGTAACGGCAGAGGAACTCCAGTAACATCAGATCCGTGGTTGTATTTTGCAATGCAAGTCAAAATTAAACGTGAGAAAGAAAGAGCAGGCAGCAGCCGCAGTCCTGGCCAGAGGTGCCACAGGACTGAGGAGTGGCAATGGGAAATTCAGAGGTCACCACAGTGAAATTTGGGGTCTTTTAGACATGGGCCTATAGAAGGGCTGAAGTCATGGGATGCTCTTCTGGGATTTCTACTTCCATACCTGGTGGTGCTGTCCCAGCGAAGAAACTGGAGTCTGGATGAAGGTCAGTTGTGTTTCCTTTAGGAGCATGTGGGAGGGG